AGACACAAACAAATGGAAACATATACCGTGTTCATGGATTGAAAGAATTAATATAATCAAAATGTCCATACTACCCAAAGCAATTTACACATTCAATGCAATACCTATTAAAGTACCAATGGCTTATTTCACAGACATAGAACAAACACTTCAAAAATTTATATGGAACCATACACGACCCTGAATAGCTGCTGCAATTTTGAGAAAGAAGAGTAAAGTAGGGGGGATTACAATACCTGACACTAAACTATACGACAAGGCCACTGTAATCAAAACAGCCTGGTACTGGCATAAAAACAGGCACATGGACCAATGGAACAGAATAGAAAGCCCAGAAATAAACCCAAGTCTCTCTGGTCAATTAATATTTGACAAAGGAGGCAGCAACATAAAATGGAGTAAAAATAGCTTCTTCAACAAATGGTGTTGGGAGAACTGGACAGCTACGTGCAAAAAAATGAAACTCAACCACCAACTTACACCTTATACAAAAATAAATTCAAGGTGGATAAAAGACTTAAATATAAAACGTGACACCATTAAAGTCCTAGAGGAGAACATAGGTAGGAAAGTCTCAGATATTTCACACAGAAACTTTTTTACTGACATGTCCCCTAGAGCAAGGGACATAAAGCAAAGAATAAACAAATGGGACCTCATGAAAATAAAAAGCTTCTGCACAGCTAAAGAAAACAGTATCAAAATTAAAAGAGAACCAACTGTATGGGAAAACATATTTACCAATGATACCTCAGACAAGGGTTTAATCTCCAAAATATATAAAGAACTTACATGACTCCACTCTAAGAAGACAAGCAACCCAATTAAGAAATGGGCAAAGGACTTGAACAGACACTTCTCCAAGGAGGACATACAGAAAATCCAAAGACACATGTTCTTTATCGCTAGCTATCAGAGAGATGCAAATTAAAACCACAATGAGATACCACCTCACACTGGTCAGAATGGCCATCATAAATAAAGCAACAAACAACAAGTGTTGGAGAGGCTGTGGAGAAAAGGGGACCCTAGTGCACTGTTGGTGGGACAATTGTATCTTTGACAAACCATATTGAAATCCATGTTTGTGGACTTCTTTGTGTCACCTCCTACCCACCTACAACTCTGCAAATTTGTCCCTTACAACTTCCATTCCCCTAAAACTTCCATGAGGGACATGTCAGCTAAAATCCAGTGGTATTAGCATCCATTGATGCTAATTGGTGTTTGAAATATTTTTTAGTTTTCTAATGATGCATAACAAATTCTCACAAACTTAGTTATTTACTCACAGTTCCGTAAGTCAGAATGGCTGGGTTCTGTGCTCAGAATCTCAAGGCTAAAATCAAGGTGTTGGCCAGCCTGCATTCCCAATTGAAGTAAGGATCCTCTTCCAAACAAATAAGGTTATGGCAGGGTTCAGATCTTCATTGTTGTAGAACTAATGTCCCATTGCCTTACTGTCCACAAGGAGTCACTCTCAGGTAGGGGATGCATACATTCCTTGCCACATGGCTCTCTTCATCTTCAAGCCAGCAATGGAGAATAGCCCTTGCCTACAGTCCATCTCATGCTTTAAATCCTTGTTGTCAGTAAGACCCCACTCCCTTTTAACAACTCCCCTGATTTTGTTAGGCCCACTGAGGATACTCTCCCTTTTTTAACATTAATTGATTGAGAACCTTAATGAAATTCCTTCGCAGCATATGAATAACTGGAAGAAATTGTGTGTACCAGGGAGGAGAAATCTTGGAGCTATTGAATTAAGGGATCAAGATTGTGGCATAGGTAAACACAGCTTACCTCCTCACACAACCAAATCAATATTACAACTAAATTATTACAGAACAACCATGATTCACAACCATCAGAAATCAAGCTGAATGGAAGTCCTACAAATACAGAATTAAAGAAGAAACCACACCAAGACTGGTAGGAAGGGGAGAGATGCAGAACACACTGATCCCATACCCATGTGTGGAAGATAAAAATCAGGAGAGAAACTTAAGGAGCAAAGGGTCCCAGCCCACACCAGGTCCCCCAAACCAGCGTTCTAGTGCCAGAAAGATAAGTCAATATAATTTCTGGATGTTAAAACCAGCAGGGATTGAGACTGTGGAAGACAGAAATGGCTGAACTCCCTGACAGTTCCTCTTAAAAGGCCTACACACAGACTTATTCACTCACTCCCTCTGAACTACATTACAGGTCAGCAGATTGAAAGGCATCAGAGACATACCAGGAGGAAGTAAATTGTCCACATCAGGGCAAGAGCTGGTAGGTGGCTTTCTCCAAAACAGAAGTGCTTGGAAAGGCCATTTTTCCTTTTCCAAGGATGGCCACCTAGAGCCACAGATCCAGCAGGTAGGCACCATGTCTGAGACTCCATCAACTTGGCTCACACTATTTACCCCATCTTGGTGATTCCCTGAGGCTCTGCCTCACCCAACTTTAGGATCCACCCAAACTGTTTCCAGTGGTTTTTCCATACATATGGTTTGTCTTGCTTGGCCCATGGTTCAGATTTTCCTATATTATCTCATACAACAAACATCAGGAATCAGAGAGCCCTGTGCCTCTCTCTAAGTTGCTCCAGGATAGGCAATAGCAGTAGCTGGCTTTAACAGTTTGATTTCACCTAGGCACTTCCAAGCCCAGCACAAGTAGCATCCATCTGCCGATTGCTTTGTAGCTTACACTGTGTGACCCCAGACAGAATAGAGGTTATGATTGACCTTGGGTGTGCCAACAGCAATCAAGGCTCAACTACAAGAGGAGGGTGTACACAGCCCATACAATGGGTACACCTCAAATACCCAGCTTGGGTAATAGGGGAAGCTATGCCACTGGACCCTACAGGACATCTACTACATTAGGCCACTCTACCAAGTCTGTGAAATGTATAGCACCACCTAACACATAGAAACAAACACAAAGTGGTGCCAAAGTGGTAAGACAAAGAAACATCCCAAATGAAAGAACAAACAAAACTCCAGAAAAGAACTAAACAAAATGGAGACAAGCATGCTACTAGATACCAAGTTCAAAACACTGGTTATAAGGATGTTCAAGGAACTTAGTGAGGATGTCAATAGCATAAAAAAGGGCATGGAAACCATAAAGAACAACCAGTCAGAAATGAAAGACACATGAATTAAAATAAATAACAATTTACAGCAGGAGTCCCCAACCCCCAGGCTGCAGATGGGAAGCTGTCCATACCCTCCAGGGCCTGTTAGGATTCCAGAGCAAGAGAAGCTTGCCTGAGCTCTGCCTCCTGTCTTTGCCCTCCCCTGCCCACCACCTAGTCCATAGCAGGAGGTGAGCAGAGGCCAACAAGTGATGCTCACCTGAGTTCCACCTCCTGACCCCACCCCATGCCTGAAGTGTCAAAAATGTTGGGAACCATTGATTTACAGGAATCAGCAGTAGCATGGAGGAAGTTGAAAATTAAATCAGTGATTTGGAATATAAGAAAGCAAAAAACACCCTATCAGAACAGCAAGAAGAAAAAAAGAATCCAAAAACATGAAGATAGTGTAAGAAGCCTCTAAGACAACTTCAAAAATACCAACACTTGTGTCATAGGGATGCCAAAAGGAGAAGAGTGAGAGCAAGAAATTGGAAATTGAAAAAATAATGACAGAAAACATCCCTAATTTGATGAAAAAATAGACATGCAAGTCCAGGAAGTGCAGAAAGTCCCAAACAAGATGGATGTAAAGAGGCCCATTCCAAAACACATCATGATTAAAATGTCAAAGATTAAAGATAAAGAGAGAATCTTAAAATCAGCAAGAAAAAGAAGTTAGTTACCTACAGGGCAGTTCCCATAAGATTGCCAGCTGATTTCTCAAGAGAAACTTTGCAGACTAGAAGGGAGTGGCAAGAAATTATTAAAGTCATGAAAAGAAAGGAACTAAAACCAAGATTACGCCATCCAACAGGGCTATCATTTAAAATTGAAGGACAGATAAAGAGCTTACTAGGCAAGAAAAAGGTAAAAGAGTACATCACCACCATACCAGCATTATATAAAATGTTAAAGGGTCTTCCTGAAGAAGATCAAAAATAGAAACAATAAAATGGCAATAAATACATATCTATCAACAATGGAATCTGTAAATCAAAATAAACAAACAAGCAGAACAGAAACAGAATCATAGATACAGAGAACATTTTGATGGTTGCTAGGTGGGAAGTGGTCAGGGGGATGGGTGAAAAAGGTGAAGGGATTAAGAAGTACAAATTGGTAGTTACAGAATAGTCACAAGGATGTAAAGTACAGCATAGGAAATGGAGTAGCCAAAGAACACATATGCATGACCCATGGACATGGACAATAATGTGGGGTTTGTGGGGTGGTCTGGGTGGAGGGAAGTAAAGGAGAAAAAATTGGGACAACAGTAATAACATCATCAAAAAACATAATGAAAAAATAAGAAATCTTGGGGCTATTTGGGAATTCTGCCTACCACCATGTGGCACCCATTTGCATCTTCCATCCACATTTCTTAGATGACATTGTACTTTAAGAAAGATCTTCCCTTTTTTACCTTTCTCTGTTCTTTCTGGTAGTATAGACTGAAGAATTATTTTTTAATTTAATATTTTATAATCTACTGACATAATTCATTTTCCTTCCCTCTATAAATCCCCTAGTTTTCTTATTGGGCTTGCGTACTTCCATTCCTGCTGCTCCTGGGAGCCATCCCTCATACTGCCTTCCAACCCTATCTGTGGGCAAAGAAGGAGGCAGGATCCAAGGCTTTCCCTAGCAGGGAGGGTGGAGTCGATGTCCTGATGTAGGGTGGGGACTGGTGGGGCCACGCCCCCTTATGGGGCAACCAATCAGGATTTTAGGTGCTGGTTGCTCCATTGTGAAGAACTGGCTTCTGACGGTTTGAGTTTTGGGATTCTAGCTAGAACAAGGGGAGGCTAGTAGTGGGTTTGGCTCTCTGATTTTAGGGCACTGGGGTCTGTCTCTGGGTGGAAAGATCATGGTCCAGAAACCGGGAGACCCAGCTGCCCCTGCCGCCCCAGCCGACCCCGCCGCCCCACCTGTGGAGGCTGAAAAGCCAGAAGAGCCTACACAGACAGTTGCAGAGCTGGCATTTTATGCCCCGAATTACAAATGTCTGACCCTCCTGGCCATAATTCTTTTCCTTCCCCTGGGATTACTAGCTGTGTACTTCAGTCACAAGGTAAAATAATGCCTAAGTCATGACCCAACCTGTCCTCTACCTGCCCCTTGCATATGCTTCCATCCTGGGACCTGGGGAGGGATTTTCCCTCAGTGCCAGCAGGTCTCCAGCCATTCCCTAACGGTGGTCACAAAGCTGAATTCTGAAACCCACATCTAAAGCTCCTGTCCCTACAGACCTTGAAGGCTAACAAGAACAGCGATTGGGAAGAAGCTTACATCAACTCAGGCCGAACTGGTTGGCTGGCTGTATTCGCCATACTCATCGGTTTAGGCATCATTTATTACTTTTCTCTATTTGCATGAATGCCAGGCCCAGTAGCCTACGGGTCCAACCCCTAACACAACCCACTTCCAAGACACTAAGAAGCCAAATCAGCCACCATGCAAGAAACCACAGATGAGACATCACTAACCTGGAAAGCCACCAGCCAAGGAACTCAACATCCAAGCAATCCACTAGCCCAGGAACACCTTAGGGCTTCATCCTCTTGGCCTCCAGACCTGTCTTCAACCACCTTGGGGGTCTTCACTTTCATTCCTTTAATGCTCTTAGTTCCTTAATACTGGGCTGCTCTTTGAGAAAAAAAATATATATTTAAACCAATAAAATTGAAAGGAATGTGCCAGCTTTTCATGTGCATGCATGTGTGTGTATTTCTTAGTGTTTGTGTTTCACTGGGCAGCCTTTTACCAATGTGATCATCAGAATGTACTAATGATGAAACTCAGGAACATGGAAATCAGGCTGACTGTGGATTTATATCTCACTTCTGACACTTAAGAACTCTATATTTTCCAGCGAGATAATTTTCTTGAGCCTGGTTCCTTTGTCTGTAAAATGAACATAACTGTCAATGTGGGGTGATATTTAGAAATCTGAATCACTATTCTGTAGGTGTTTCCCCAATTCAAGCTAGAATTCTGTCTCAGACCAGAAATAGGAAAACAAAAGCTTCCTCCAGCTTTTGATACCCCACATCAAACTTCTAAGGGGAAAATGGAAATACTTCAAGAAATGAGCAATGAAGTTAGCAGATGAACTGATGAAGACCACCTCTCCCTCAATCCTGAAAAGTCAATCGTCCCCTACTCATAGGGGAAGTAGAGATTATGAGGCAGGAGACAGCGCGGGAAGAACTTTGAGACTGCACTGCTATTACTGGCCATCATCTAACATCCTGGTTGCCAGGAAATGCCTTTTATCACTTAGGTAGAATGAATGGTAAACCAAGGCATGGAGGAGAAGGAAGACACATCTCACTAACTCAGCAGCCCTGAGCCTGGTCTGGTAATATTGCCACGTGTTCCAACATCACAAGAAACTCCATGTTAGAAAGGAAGGAGGGAAGTCCTTGAAATTCTGTATCGTATTTCCACTATGCTGTGTAGCGTTTCAAGGCTTAGGAGAGAAAGCCTTGAAACTGTGCTTTCATCCCAAGGTCTGAAATATGGGAGAGGGTGCACAGTGCCCAAAGAAACAGCCCTAAATAATTTTGGGTAACTGCCCCAACTTTACTTAACTGCCTCCTGTCACTTTTCTGTTTTACAAGATGAACAAATGGAGTCTGGAGCAAGATAAGGATTTGGGCTAAAAGACCCCCACACATACCTAACTTTGGGTAGTCACATTCCCCCCAGGAAAGCTGGCATCACATTTACCTGTCAATCAATACATAACTTTTTCACTCCCATCCTGCCAACTACATAATTTCTCAGAACAAAGGACTCACACTCTTGGCTCTTGCTCTCTGGCTACCTGGGGGCTTAGCACCCTGGCCTTCAGCTGCCCCTACTTTTGCCACCCCACTTTGACCTGAACCTATGCCTTTCACTACCCTCATGCTAGCTAGGCCCGTTCTCTCCAATGGGAACAGATCACTAATAAACTCAATTGCATGCTAATAGGTTTACTGATCTGTAATTCTTTATGCATGTCACTAAGAAGAACCAGGTCTCTCCCATCAACAATTTGATGCCTCTGTATCTGTAAGGAGGTCCCTATAGCCTACATCTCATGAAGGGGTGGGTGCCAGAGACCCCAGATATTCTTTGTATTCCCTCTTCACAGATACATTTTAGAGAGCTTCTAAGAGCTCAGAGAAAATAAGCTGGATGGTGTATGGAGGTCTAGGAAGAAATGACCTCAGACAACCAAGCAGACTATCCCATATGCCCTAGTTTTGGTGAGGAGGAGGTGGGGTCCATAAAAATGCCAGGTACCAGGGTGAGGGTGACTATCAGGTAGGAACCAGGGATAACTCAGGAGCCATCCATGATTAAGTGAAAACATATCTTGGCTGATATGGTGGACAAGAAACACCTAGGGCTTCCTCTGGTGCCCTTGCTTTATAGACAACCCCAAACTCAGACCCAGAAAACCTCAGTTTAGCAGAATTAAGTTTCCCTGACTGCGGAAAATGGGGATTATCAGTAGAAATTAAGTTGAGTAGCTGTGGGAGAGACTGCTCTTCACTACAGGTCATCTCCTTTTCTTCCTGTGAACACTACTCAGTCACATTTCCTAGGTTCCCCTGAATGGCTATGAGACTGTCTTTGGCTCTATGAAATGTAATCAGAGGTGATGTGTACCACAAACAACCCTGGCCTTTATTTATTTTAGTTGTGAACATAAAGTTCAATGAAGAGAAAGTTAATAATGAAGACTTTATAAAAATAAAAACAACTCTAAAAGAACTCATTCATAGAATAAAAAGACAAGATACAAACTGGGACAAAATCTCTGCAAAACACATTTCTGATCAAAGATTTTTGCTCAAAACACACAAAGGACTATAAAACAAAAAACCCCACTGAAAACAGGAAAAGATCTGATCAGACACGTGGCCAAGGAAAATGTATGGTGTTTATAAACATGGGTTCTGTGGAAAGTAGCCATTTGATGATCTGATCATAAATTCCTAACTGAGCAGGTCATGGTAGGTAGCATACCTAAGGCACATAACTTCTTTAGTAAAAAGGCTTATCTTTGCCTTAAGCAGCTCTATACATTGTTTCTGTTTGACATTAACATATGTTTGAAATGCCCCCTGGCAGACCCCTCCTTCTAAAATGTGATAGCACAAATAAAAGCAACAATGAGACAGCACTGCAATCTATTAGATTTGCTAAACTCCAAAACAAATGACACCACCAAGTACAGGAGGGTGAGAAATTATAGGAACTCTCATTTATTTATTTTTAATTATTTTATTATTGTTCAATTACAGTTGTCTGCATTTATCCCCCACTACTCCCCCCAACCCCAGCCGTCCCCACCTCCCTCCCTTGCTTCCACCCCACCCCTTGGTTTTGTCCATGTGTCCTTTATAGTTGTTCCTGAAAACCCTTCCACTCTTCCCCCCATTATCTTCTCCCACCTCCCCTCTGGTTACTTTCAGATTGTTCTTAATTTCAGTGTCTCTGGTTATATTTTGCTTGCTTGTTTGTTTTGTTGATTAGAACTCTCATTTATTAATGGTAAAATACACAGCCACTTTGAAAGACAGCTGGGCAGTTTTTCCCAAAGCCAAACAATTCTCACCTCATAGTCCAACAATTCTCCTCTAGTGTTTATGCAACCACTTTGAAAATCTCTATCCAAATAAAAACTTGCATGCAATTATGCACAACAGCTTTATTCATAATGACTAAAAGCTTAAAGAAATTAGGATGTCCTTCAGCAGGTAAATGCATAAGCCCATTAGGATACATCCATAAGAGGAGCAGAGCATGCCACCCCAAAATATGCTTCCTTGACATAAGAGTTATTCTGAGCTGATTAATTTTTAAGATACCAAACAGACACAGGAGAATCTCTGAAAACTGAGAACAAGTTGGCATTTTATGACAGTCATGACCAGCTAGGAGTCCCCACCTGTTCAGACAAGTTCAGAGTACAGTTTCAGAATGCCTGGGTATGTAATGGACTACTGGGCCCAGGGCCTGAGGACCTTTTGCCATGACTGTCTTGCAGCTTATGACTTAGAGGTTATTTTCTTTGGGGGAGTTTACAAAAAAATAAGTGGACCTAGAGTTGGCAATTTTATCACAAGTAATGATGAAACTGGAAAATCTGGTGTTTGGGCAGCCTGTCACCTACCAGACCCAATAAGCAGAGACAGGGATTGAATCTTTATGGGCACTTTATTCAGATGGCCAGCAATCTGAGAAGTTGGCAGTTTTGTACCCTAACTGACTGTCCTCCTTTCTTTTCAAGCCACCCTTTCCTATAAGGGGGGCAAAAGTATAGGTAAGGCATATGGGAATCAAGGGGAAAAAAGTGTAGGTTAGGGATTTGGGACTCAGGAAATGGGTTAATTAGATAAATGCTGTGGTCCAGCAATTTTCTACCTATCTGTGTCCTGTGTCCTGGGCAGTGGACTGTCTCTTCCTGGAACACAATGACTCAGACACCACCTTGATTGCTTATGGCATCTTCTGGAGCACAAAGGTCAATTGCTTGTGGTCTCCTGGAGTCAGGGTGAGCCATACCTGCAGTTCCTGAAACAATAGCTTTTCACATGCATTAACTACTAGGCTTATTAACTATTACCTTTAGTTTATTACCTTAAACTAAAATTTTCTCACTCTTAAGTTCCCCCATCAATGATGCAAATAGGTAAAACTTGTTCATCATTTGATGAAAAACAGAGTTGCAAAAATAGCTTCTAAATCATCTAAGAAAAGTACTATACACATCCCTAGGAGGTGTTCTGGCCTGTCGATGTACTCAGGATACTGACAAGAAAAAAAGGGAGCAGTGAGGTATGATAAGGCATACCAGGTAGTAAAATATTTTAAAGCCGTAGTTATTACCATTTCATTGAACCTAAGACCCTCTCTATTTTAAGGTGCATCATGAGTTCATGTTGCTAACAAAGCCCTGCCAATTAATTTATGACTTGTGAGGTAATCTTACACATGTGAAAAAACATGTGCCTTGGGATGGTATTGATGGATGGATCCGCTGAAATTAACAAAATAATAAACACACCAGACACAGACCTAAAGACACACTTGACTTTAGTATAAGGTTAGGATAATACTGCAAAGCCAACCTCCAGGTCTGGATTGGATCCTGAGCATTCCAGGTGCTTGTGTCCTTGGAGGATGCCTATCAACCCTGCTGCTGCCCCACACTGCTGGACAGAGAGACCAGATATGCAGACATCTCATACTTGCACAACCATTGGTCCAGGTCACAGGCTTTGAAGTCAGACCTGAATTTAAATCCAGTCTCTTATCAGGGTCAATAAATTAGAGCATGGCTATGATTTCCCATTGAAACAACGGTTTTGTGGTTC